GAGAGAGAGAGAGAGAGAGAGAGAGAGAAGTGCGTATAAGCGGGAGAGTAGCGGGCAAAACGTTCATCCGATCCGCGTGTGGTCCGATATAGATTAGAGTTATATATCGCACACACGCTCGTTAAACTTTGTACAACGAANGGAGAGGAAAACGCGTTCAGGAGTAGTGAGTAAAATCAACAGAACCCGGGCTGACCGGCTGTCGACCTGTTTTAATTTCCCAGGCTACTTCGCGGCTCGAGGGTGGGGGCGTGCCAGCCTGTTTCATGAAGGAAAGATAGATGAACAAATCGAACGTAAAGACCCGACTCGAAAAAGTCTCCGCGAGAAACGTGGCCGCCTCGCCAACCTTTTCTCCTTTTTCTTTCTTTCACTTCTCTTAATATTCCATTCCACTTTTTTCCATTCCGTTAAAAATGAAATGCCACGATTATCTTAAGGCCAGAGATTGCCGGGGAGAGTCGTCAGAATTGGGCGCGTCGTAATCTGGTAAAATAGAAAAATAACTTTTCTAGGAGAATATTCGTTTATAGTCTCGCGATCGGGATAAAAGAATAAAGTTTCGATTTCGAAGAATTAAATAGAAGAGATGTTTTCGATTGTGCCACGCTACTTCCACCTGCTACTCTCCAAAAGGAAAAAAAGAGAACTAACTGACGGAGGAGATGGAGTGGGAGAAGGGAGGAGAGGAAAGGGAAATATACCGAAGAGCACCGAAGAACGAATGGTGGCGCGGTAACGAATTGCAAATTAATAGGAAGGATTTACATTTCGTAAGGCAGCTAACGGCGAAGGATCGAAAGAGAAATTGAATTCCTTCGCCCTTCTCTCTCTCTCTTTCTCTCTCCCTTCCCCCTTTTTCTTGCGCTCGAGCTCCCTCGAGGAGCGAATAGTCGCGACCAATCAGAACATGCGGAGGCGCGATTACACGCGTAACTTTGCCGATCGATGATCGTTAATTGAGAGTCGCGAAAACGAGAAAGCTGGAAAGAAAAGAGGGGGAAGAATATCGCGATTAGGAGTGATAAATCCGTAGCTTACCCAGCGCTTACCGAACTCTATTTAACGAGGGAAACGAGGTAGAAATTTCAGGTGAACGGTGTTACTCGTAAATATTGGAAAATATCGAGAAACGATCGATACGGTTTCCTTACGGAGAGATACGATCAAAGTTTCGTCACCGAATAACGTTTTCCATTTTATTTTTTCTTTCTTCCTTTTTTCTCCACGACAGAGTTGCGCGCAATTCTTGAGATCGAACGAGGCCGCGGTTCTGGAGGCTGTCGGTTTGGTGGCCGCGACGGATCAGGTGGAGATCTTTGGAGAGCAGACCGGTAACGGAATAGGAAGTGGCGGCAATCAGTGCTCCGCTCATTACGGCGTACGATCCAATTCCAACCCCGGAATTGGCGCCATTCAACACACGAACAACGCCACGGGTGGTTTCCATCATTATTCGAGCGCATCGCACGCACCGAAACGACGCGCCTCCGACACGCCGTGAGTATTCATTTCTATTTCCTTCGTTTCTTCCTCTCCCAAATAATTTGAAACCAATTCTCCGTCCATTTGTTCCTCTGCCATTCTCCGCCGCAACGACAACGTAGACGAAGTATCGTATTTGAAAACGTCGTAAATCGGGACGACGGTTAAATTTCGGTCGCAACGAAATCTTTGTCCGTCTATAACGATAATTCACGCGAGACACCNCGCCACGCACCTGCGCGTACACGTGTGCGCAGTATATCTGCCAAGCCGCAAATGTGCCGCGGTGTTTCGGAAAAATCTTGGCTACGAGCCTGTGTGTTTCTCGGCCCATGTTTAACCGTTCCCACAGAAACGGTGACCTCGATTCTCGAATCTCGATGCACGATTCACGATCAAAATTCGTTGATCCGATGATCTGGAACACGTAGATGGATCCGTTCGTGCACAAAGGATGTTCGGTAATTTCGGTTCGGAATAGGAGAAAGGGGCGCCGACGCGACGCGAATCCGAAGGTGACAAAACGCGACGTGCGCGTTGGCAATGCCAGCCTGGCCTCCTCTCGATATGTCTGCCGGTGACGTTTCCATATATCATCGGGGTACCACCTTTCTCCAACACCCCTACGCCGTCCTACTCCCGCCAAGACCCCCTACTCCCTACTCTTCGACTACCGGGAAACTTGCCTCGAGTACCTGCTGCTAATACACGCCACCTTCTCGACCAACCAACACCTCGTCCGACAAACGAATTATCAAATCCTCTCCTCCTTTCTCTCTCTCTCTCTCTTTTGAATTCGTTCGTTCCTTTCGTTTCCTTTTCGAGGTATCGAAATATGTCGCAGGTATTACGAGAACGGGGCCACTCTGCTCGAGGACGTCCCCTTGTACGGGAAAAGATTGACGAATCCTTGGAGTCACCACCATCCCCCGCAACAGCAACCGTCCGCCGAGGGTTCGTCCCCTTATTGTTGGTATCATCCGCTTCATTCGAGTGGATCGATTCAAGGCCTCGGCCATCGTCATGCTCACGCTCACGGTCATTCTCACGGTCAAACTCACGGCCACGCTCACGGCCACGGGCAGGGTGAGGGGTCTAGCTCGATACCACCACCTGGTTCAGTGCAAATGAGTCAGATGAACGCGTTCTCCGGCTCTCACCACCTAGCACGGCAACAGCAGCAGCAAATGGGTCACGTTCAAATGCAGAACGGCAGCCTGGACGACGAGTGGAAGAACATTCACATGATGTTGAACTGTATCCTCGGAATGGTGGAAAAGACGAAGAAAGCTTTGGCCATTCTGCAAACACGCGGCTGTTTCGGGG